ACAAACAAGCCATTGACGAGATACAATTAGTCCTTTTAAAATGAAATTCTATCTCGCCAGTGTTTTAAATCAATCCGAGTAATTACTTGGATTAACATAAAATCACATGGAGATACGGACGAACAGAGTTTGCAGACTACAAATTTTGGCCAGAATTACTAAGTCTGAGCATTAACAAAATGGTCTCGTCGTAGAGGCTTTCAATCAGGACAGATTAGGAAATAATATTTATACAGAGGTCAACATGGACAAGACAGTCGCATGTAAACACAATTACCTCCAAGCCCTTTGAAGTCGCGGCAATGTCAAGTGGAAAGATTGCGGGATAGACACCCATACACCTTCCTTCGACTCTGAATCGCGAGGCGACTGCATCGAGTTTTTGAAACATCTAGACGTTGAGAGGAACATGATAGTACTTCGCTATCTAACGTATTTTTGATATCGTCGAGGCTTTCGCGAGATCGAACGTAGATAATATCGCCGTTAACGATTCCGAGTTCATCAAGGCGCATGGTAGAGTTATCAAAACCGAAGTAATCATTGGCGTTTAAACTCAGCTCAACGTTGGCTCTGAAGAGAGGTAGGATTAGTCAAATTAGAACTTTAAAATCATACGCATTCAATTTAAAGTTTACGGCCGCCAATTCAAGGACGTGAAGAAGTTCAGAATACTGATTTTCGATATTTACGAGAACGAAAGAAGAACGGAATTTTAACCGTAATTTCATCGTGGTAAACTACAGAAACTAAAAACTAAATAATAGAGTTCTATGAAATCTGGTGAGATCCAAGAATTCAACCGTCACACCAAGTTACTCAAATCTGGATGAAACAATTAAACAAACTTCTTAAGCACTAGTCAATAATAAACATTTACAAAAACTGTACCATGAAGTTATCAGCTACTCACACCATTCTTATACTTATTTAATCTCAAAGTATTAAAGTTGATTTTTAGCAATTAACTGAGGCAGAAATTAGGATATTATAACAAACCTTTCCGAAACGGTAAAGCTGTATTTTGAAAGGCAAAAAACCAAATTTGCATATTCGCCAATATGAGACCCGTGAAAATTGTTGTGAGAGTGCCAAGCATCAATCGACGGAATGCATTGCATGTCATAACGTAGTAATGTCATCAAGTGAGTAGTGATGGGCGACTCTCACTAAATACTCACTTGATGGCAGGCGCCTGTCGAAAGTAACCAAACAATGGGACTTAGGAATCAGAGTTGTTTCCTCTCTAAAGCCTCCTTCCCAATGTGTTAGGGCTGCCAAGAGGGCGAACAGTATTCTGATTGCCATTAAACGAAATTTGTGGATATGGATAAGGAATTACAGTAGTCGCCGGTTAATAAGCCCAGAGCTAATAAGCCCAGCCGCGTATTAAGCCCACATCAGCTTGGGACGGAATTT